GAAACTTGGAGGAAATTCTCTGTCAATTAAAATTAACCAACACATAATGAATTGTAAAGTGGACCTGAAAGATGGAGAAAGCGAGAACATGGCGAAAATGATTATCTTTGGATGAGATAGCGCTAACCATTGCTAAGAAAAATAATTCTAATAAGCCAAGGAAACAAGTGAGATAACGGAAAATACTTTGTACAATAGTTTCCAATGGGGTTCTGAATAACTGTGCATACCTAATTTCTTTTTCATATTATTCGATTCAGATATATTTAGCTGCAACAATTGAGCAGTGCATCGGAAGATGAAGGTATTCCTGGGAGTTCCAAACAACCAGAAATAAAATTATCTGATGCTTGAATTATTAGCAAAAGATGATTGATTGAAGGAGTAGATGTCACGTTCGCTTATCAATACCCATTGATTATCTGGCGATTAATCCCACTCTACCATTTTTTGTAGTATTTTTATATGAATTTTCATAGTAATGTTTACCACGGATTTTCAAGAGTTCGATTAAGCCTTGCTTCAGCACGTTTATCTGGTAGTTTCCACAATATCTTTTCTTTTGGGTTTTCAGCTATATTTTCCGCACCATCTATGATAAGATTATAATGGTGAATTGAATAATAAAACCAATTCAAACCTATTAGTATAACAGTGCCACTCTGTAATAAAAAAAAAAAAAACTTCTAAATTTCACTTATTTTTGAATTATTTCCTATTTTCAAACACTTTTTTTGTTCGCCTTCTTTCCTCCAATACGATTGGTCATCCAAAAATATGCTGCCTGCAAAAAAAAAAAAAAAAAGAATGATAGGAATGTAGTGATTAAATTGATAGTAGCAAAAGTAATTGTTACATTTGAAGTTACCTGCATTCCATTTATTGCTTCAGGAAATTCAAAAAATAAGTCTATGAAATGAACAGAAGAGTTGATGGAAGTATTTTTACAGTAATGGCAAATATTGATATACAGTTTGAATCATATTTCTCTAGCTTGTCTCTTTTTATCACATTTTCTGTCAGCATAATTATTCCTTCGTCATTTCCGGATCGTGTTAATTTTACAGGTTTTCTCAGCCTGTTTTTTTGTTCGGAATATTGTGTTATCAAGATTACTTATTAATATATAAATTTAATTACCAGGCAAGCACAAACTTAAATTTCTATTAGCATCACAAAAAATTAAACAGACTTGGAGGTGCATTAATCGAGGCAGAGATTGGTGTTGTGTACATTGGCGTTATTGGCGTACTTTCTTCCATTATTCCTGATATCTCTACATCAGTCTCTAGCATTGTATTCTGTAATTGAATCTTGAATAGCTTTAACCAAACACTTCATGATTCCACTTTGATGTTTTTCTCACTTACATATTGTAGATTACTGTTGTTCTTGCTGTCACATAAAAAAACGTCTCCAAGTTCAATTTTCAATGATTATCAGATTTGTAAATCCCTGCACAGGATTTACAGCAAGTAGCTTTATTTATTTGAAAACACAATATAATATTCTTCACTAGGAATTGATATATATTATCTGAGAATATTAGTATCACATAATTAGTACACACATATACCTGAATAGATACATCTGCTGGTCAAAAATGATTTTATGTGGAAGTCCGTATTTATAATTAATGCTCAAATAATTTTTTCTTTTTTAGCCGAACTTGAATAGTAATTTGTAGTTAAATTGAAATTTTAGATTAAAATCTTAAATTAAAAAATGTGACAAACAGGATGCGATAGGGAATTTGGCATTTTTTCCGGCATATCGGTTCCAGTTGTATCCAATGAATCGTTATTTTCCTCATCCTTTTCTTCATTATTTTTATCATCCAATTCTTCCGCTGAAAAATTTATTCGACATTTGTTTAAAATCAAATTATTACCAGTTTATTAGTTTTGCTGGTTAATTATTTTTCCCAGGTGACATGAATCGTACCATTTGAAAGTTATACAAATCATGACAGAAAGTTCTTTCAAATACTAAAAATTAGAATAATCTTGATAAATCTGTCTGAACTGACCGAAATCTCATTTTGATTTGATTTTATTTATCTTAAATGGATTGCTTCAATGTCATTTATCAAAAGAACCCACAGCAGAGAATGGTAGTGAAATTTAAATTACATGAAAATATGTGCTTTAAGTTAAATGTTATATAATTACAAGCCGGTAAAAATTAATTCATATGCAAACACTTTGGTAGCATAAACAGGTTTATAATGAAACTTTGTTCAGGTCCTCTTACGTAATATTCGTAAAAAAAAAAGAAAAGTTACGTATAAATTTTGAAAGAAGAATCGAAATTTACTGGATGGTTCAGGGATGAGTAGGATTCGTTTGTTTGGTGAGAAATATGGAATTGGACTTGTTGAGCAAGCAATACGACTAATCCATTTATGAACATTATCAGGGTGAACTTGATGGTGATATCTTTTTGGCTAAAACATGAACTAATAATCAAGAGATATCATAACCCATTAGAAATGATCAGAACTAAAGTGATTTTGATTAGAAGGAAGGTAAAAGTGGATAAATTTATTTTTGAGATCTCAAGTATATTTAATGGTTAATTAAGCAGTACTTATTCATTACGCTTGGAAAAAATTAATTAAAATGATTTAGTGAAAGGGTAAATGAAAAGGTTATTTAATTTTATTCTTTAGAGAAATAAACTTATGCAAGATCCATCTTTAGATTGATGACATAGCTTAAGTTTATATTACTAAATCGTACTATTGGCGTTGATGTTGTCTGAGGATATTTTTGATCAGCAGATTTTTCACTCTTTCTCTTCTCCTAAAATATTCGTAACTAAATGGAAATTTAAAACTACCAATTAATAAAATTTTTAATTTCCTTATTAGCGATAAATAATTGTCGATATCATTATTGATTAGCTTTTGATTGAGGACCCCGTGGTTTGTAGGTGCTTAACCTTCCCCTTCATACACTATCACAAAACCTTAAAAGGCTTTTTTTTTAGCCTATTGAAGATAGGTAAAAAATTTAACCAGAAAATCTTCACTCATAATAATGCCAGTGATTGAAAATATACCGCCGTTTTGGATTTCCGTTTTTCTTTAGATTTTCTTTCTTTCCATTCATCCAACTGTTTTTCGTTAGAAACGGAAATATCAGTCTCGCGTTGACGAATCTGAGGTTCTTCGTCATCTTCTACCTTAAACATTACTATAAGTCAAAACTACAATCTACGGAAAGAAAAATAATTTTCCTATAATTTAACTGGAAAAATAATTTACTGTAAATCAAAACTATAACTTACTAAGAGTAAGTGGAAAAATAACTTTCCGAAAGAAGTCTTTCGAAAAATTATTCCCAGAAAAACATCTTAAATGCTTTCAACTTTATGTAACATAATGTTTACTTCAACTTCACCGGTTTGTTGAGAATGTTTCTCAGTTGAGAGCTTTTCATCCTTTTTTGTTTTTTGAGACGGTGTTTTTGCTGTGGAAGCAGGCAATAGCTGTAAATCGTGAAAATTAAAGATTGTGATATGTGAACTTGAGAAGTTACTCTAAGATTTCACTATTTGAGGAAATAATTCACCTCAATTTCCTTTGCAATCTTATCAGTTATCGTAGTTGATACTGTTGGTGAGACTGACTGGGGCGGTAAAGGGCTCTTGTGTGGATTGGAATCGAGCGATTTTGGATATTGCCCAGGCTTTGGCGGTTGAACATTTCCTGATGGCATGAAAGACATTTGAGGATTTACTAAACTTGCAAATTGTTGTTTGTAAAATTTCAAAACTACTATTAGCATCTAAATCAAAGGGTAAATAAGAAAGACCGATTAGACAGTTGACATATAAACCTTCCTCAAAAATTTCTTTTGAAATGTTTAGTGTCTGTCATATAGCAGGTGGCGCTTCCTGCTCAAAATATTAGTCTAAGCTATTTTAATGGGCATAACTTATTTTTTTTTTTTTTGTACAAGTCCGGATATTTTACCATATCGGTGTTAGTGTCAATTCATAAGGTATATTAGAAATCTGGACAATCCTGATATTGGTCACTTCTTAGTTATTAGTTCGAGGTCATGTAGTTAGTCAAGCATTGTGGACATGTCTTTATAATTGTTGAGTCATAAAAGTCTATTTAGATCGTTATCTTTGATCCAAGAACCCTTTTGATTCAAGAAATCTGAGGTTCATTGGATATTTTTTTTTTAGATATAATCTGAGATTCATCAGATATTTTAAATATTTATTAATCTGAGGTTCATTAGATATTTTTTCATAAAGGGAAATCTTAGATTGAAAAATAAATTATAATACTTGCGTTGCCTCGCCAACTTTAAGATCTTGAATAAATACCCAGAATATGAGTTCACTTGAGAATTTAGAACAGTCCCTCCTCTCTACCCTTTCTTCTCCCAAATTATAAACGTTTGATAGATTAAAGGAATATGAACAAACTTGGTTCTCGAGAGTGAAATGACAGAGGCTCTTTGGAGCCAATTTTGGTACTCCTTATTGCTGTAAGCATCTGTAGATCAAGTTGTCTTTTTCGAAACATATCAAGTTTGAACTGATTTCTGTCGTCTCGACGATTCTTTAGTTCTTTCTCGATTTGCTCTCTGAACTTTTAAATTACTTATTTTTAGGAAAAAGGGTTAATTTAAAGATGTGAAGAAAAACTGCAAAAATTCCCCTTAGTTGTTGGGAAAACTATACAGCCTAACCTTGATTTCCTTCGGTAATAAGCGCAAAGAAACCAGATTGCTAGTAAACCCAATGTGACCAAAATAATAAAAAATATAAAAAATGTGATAATCATCCATAATAATGAACTCGGCGATACACAACAGCCTTGTCAAATAACGCTTATTATCATTCTCTTTTACTTTTTTTTTCACTTCATTTTTGATCTAGTCCATTTATTAATGAAAATATTGAACTTGTGACAAATGACAAATCAAATTTCAGCTCAAGTAGTGAGGCAAAGCTTTAATTTCCATGTTCCATTTTGCTCCAGGTGTTTAGCCAATAAATCCAATCTGTCTATGAATTTGTATCAAGGCCTATTAAGTACTCCATTTGACAACAGAAATTATCCTCAATCTTTTGATTCCACAGATGTGCTTCTATGATTTCAGAACTTCCCTAGATCATTTTGTGAATGATAGATTCAAAATTATTGCAAAAGATATGAAGAGCATACCTTCAAATAGGCCGATACTTTTAAATTTAATTGTATTTCTGTAAATTAAGAAATATCTTCCCATCATCTTCTTGCGTCTAATTTGACGGTTCAAAGAAAAAATTTAACTAGTATTATGCAAATAATATAGCCGAACAATCCTTCCTAATTAATGAGTGGATATAAGAGGTGTCGTGACTCTCTCGATTTGAGAATAACAGGACTTAGTTCATAGTTCATAGTGTTCTGGATATATTTCGGTTCAATAAAAAGTTCTTGTTTTCATCCGTAATGATGGATACGATATTTAGCAAAATGCCAAGAGAAAAAGGTAAGCGAGTCAGTGGCAACCATTGGTTATGATTCTGTTTTCTAATTTTGAAGGAAAAATGAATTTAAGCAAATGTCAACCGATTAATAAATGTCACCTTTTCATGGTTGATTTGATTATGAACGACTGATTGAATTATATGTAATTTGCTGTGGAATATCGAAACATGTGCCTTCAATGTTCACTTTCCGTTGATACAGTATACACGGAGGCTGGAAATTATTAACTGCTCAAATTTGTTTCATCTCTTTTCAATTCTTCAAATTTCAATTCTCGTTCTTTTGTTGCATATATTTTGTTATTCCCAAAACGGCGGATTTGTCATTTTATTATAGAGCATTAGCATAACTTCCTGCATATTTTTCTGCATCTTAAATTCTCGGGAAGGAAAAAAGGTAATCTTTTTTTTTATTCAAAGTATTAAGTGAAAGAATAGGCACTAGAAGATTGAAATCAAACTTGAGACTCTGCAGTGGATGAATGAAAAGAAGTATTGAATTAGTGATGAGAATGCTTAAATGTCTTGATTTTATTAGACATATTTTTTATTCATTATTCAAAATGTAATTTATGAAATATTATGCTAACCCGAATTTATTCTAGATAACTATGATCGTCACGATTTTCCACACAGCAATTAACCGGCTCAAGTTAACACTGTGATATGAAATGACTACTTTTAGTCCGTATCTTAGCATGTTTAAACCATACTGCAACGTTTAACGTACGTATGCTTAAAACATTGCATGCAAATTAGTGGGATAATCAGTGAAATGGATATCACTTTTATACGGTGACTTTTAGTTGGGCCGCATTTTTGTGCTCTGTTCGTGTTGTTCGAATTTCTCGTTTGTATTAGGTTTGCTGGTAGGGCGGGGTGTTTTTTACGATAAGGACTGATATAGTATGTTTTTTCAGGAATGGTGGAAATGTCTTCAGCAACGATACCAACACCACAGTTAAGTAGTCTATTTGTACACGATCGTTGTTCTTCATCCATCTTTCAACGTTTCTTACTTTATATATATTTTCCATTTGGTATATTACTATTTTGCTTACGTATTATTATTGGTGTACATATTTTTCTTACTGCATGTATTCTACGCAAAACAATGTTATTAAGGTGTACGGTAAGTCGTTATTCCTCATTCATTACTTACAATGCGATGAGTGGGAGTGAATTTGTTCAAAATTGCAAACTGATCGTAATTTATGCTTTTAAGATGCATTCGTGATGTGTCGGAGTGAGTTATAAACTCAAAGTTTCAAATCAGTTGGACTGATTTATGCTAACCTTATCCCTACAGTTCTTAGTCATTCGCTGTTTGTTGCTCTTTTTATGGGTACCGTATGGAATTTTTTTCATTACTAAAGCATACCACTCTTTATCATACTACATTGAACACAAAGTAAATCGCTATGTGTACCATGAACTCATTTACAGGTATTACGGGTAATGTCATGCTTGCTGGGTTTAGTAGTATTCAGCGGTGGACCAGCTGGGAATTGGGATCATAAAACGCATCTTTTAGTCGCCAACCATATTTCAACGCTTGACCATATGGTTATTGACTTAATCGAACCTTGCATATTACCTTCTGTTTGGGATATACCCGGCATTTTACGTTGGTAAGTTCCAGTAACAATATTTTGGTAAGGTATCGTGCCATTAAATGTTTAGTTTATTGATTAATTCGATACTGAGCTTTAATCTGGAAACGTGAAAATATGTCTGGCAGAGCAGTCAAATCATTCAATTTAGTTCATAAGCTCGATAAATTATCGATCTCATGAACGAGCTACTGGTTTCGATATCGAGCTAGTAATTTCGATAGGTATTCAGTTTTTTGTCGGTTTTGACCACGAAAGGCTTTTCAATATTACTTAAAGAAATATGACTTCAAATTAATTTTCGGATAGTTGTTCTTCATAATTTACTTACAGGTGCCTAGGATACAAGGATTTGGGGGCTCGCCAAGGACGTGCGGAGCTTATCCGTCGTTCAAAAATATTCTGCGAAAAGAATGTTTTGCCCCTTCTCACTTTTCCGGAAGGAGCAATGACGAGTGGTTCCATTGGTCTTCTCAAATTTAGTACTTGGCCATTCGAAGTATGTTGTATTCCGTTTCCTCTCTTGAGTATTTCATTTACGATAATAATGTTGGAATTTAGGTAACCGATTCAGTTCAGCCTGTGTTAATATCAGTATATCGGCCATTTTTCGGTAATATCGCAGTATCAGTTTTGGGTGGCGCATGGTGGCAAGATATTTTTTATTTTCTGTTTGTGCCGTTTACTGTAATGAAAGTACGATTTTTTTATTTTTTATGAAAATAAGAAAGTGAAAGTACGATTTTTTTCAGTTTTTCATCTCAGTCCATTTTCAGTCGATGTATTCAAAACAGCAAGTTTTGGAATGCAGTTTTGATACATCTCCGCTAGAACTATTTGACCTTCAGTGTATCGGAGTGTAAGAGATTGCGCGAAAGCATGTTGGACAGAGCTATATGCTCATCTTTTTAAATATGCTTTCAGTTCTAGTTAAAAATCATTCATTTAAATCACCAATATTTAGTCTTTTATGGGTTAGGTATATTTGTATAAAATTTATTTATTTATTTAGTTCTCTATTCCAAACATCTGCATTTTAAACATCCATTGGATAATCCTCTCGTAGAGTTAATTTTCACGTATGATTTTAGGTACGTTGGCTTCATCCTTTGCATCGTAAGAAGAGCTCAGACTCAAATAAACCAAGCGAAACAACTGAAGAGTTCACGAGACGGGTTGCAGACATTATGGCCACCAGATTAGGTGCGGAAGTAACTTTTTTTTCCGAACGTTGCACAACATTAAGAAAAAAAGTGAGTGAGCAACCTCAGATTGTCTTCATTCATTTTACTACAGGTATTGCTGCTACTTCCTTTACTTCTCAAGATGCAGTTGAGGAAGCGAAGCGACATCTTGAAGGAAGGCGACGGTCGTTTCTAAACATAAGATTAAATAGTAACTATCCAAGGAAAAACCGATCCTGGCAGAGTGTAAAAAGTATAACGGAATACCTCGATTCATTGACAATGAAAATCAAGCAAGCTTTTCCAGCGGTTCCACTTGTAGCGATAAGGTAAACAATGTTAATTCAATAAGACAACAGAAATTGCACTTGTAGCCCATTCAGATGTAGAAATTTACCTTTTTTTTTGAATTTGAAACTTGTTTTTCAGATTAAATTCCAGTCTTTCTTAATTTTTTATTCTTTGAAATTCCATGTTTATTGTTTAAATGTACCCATTACATTGAAATACTTCCAGTTGTTAGTGCTGTTGTTCTCTGGCTTTTTCGTTATCTTTTCCTTTCTATAAGCAGACCAAAAAATCATTCTAATTCTTTTTAAACGATCCGGTAATTGGGTTCCATCAAGTGTTAATTTTCTTGCAGAGAAGATCTGGAACAAACACAGGATGGTAATGCAACATGTGAACGTATAACGGCAGGAAAAATAAAATTAAGTTCGTTGGAGAATGATGACTTATTGCCGGGAACTAATCCACAGCAATGGTCAAAAGTGTACAGCCGTCGAAAATGGAATCTTATTGAAACAAATCGTGCTAAATATTTGAAACGAATTAGCGAAAAATTACTTGTCGAACAGTTAAAGCATGAAATTAATTCTTGATTACTAATTTCTTCATATTTTATATTTTTTGTAATTTTTTTCATTTTGTAAGAAATAAGAGGGAATGATTCTGTTTTAATAAAATAAGGAAATATGGGAGTAAGAATACCATAGTATGAACAGATGGATAAATATTTCCTGGAAGAATATATGTTATATATTTTTGGAAAAAAATGTGATTAATATGCAACCTGAATTAAGACACGACCGAAACCTTATAAGGTGTTAGCATTGTTACCTTTCCTGTCATTCTAGTTTTTGTCTCTCCTTTAATCTTTTGCAACATTGGATTTGTTATTTTACGTTTTCAAAAAGTGAATGATATCTCGGAATCATTCCACTTCCTATCCGTACACTTTTATGATAACTCACCTATTTTTTCAATTCATCTATTTTTCATATCCAGAAATCCATGGAATTATAGGGAGCTTAACCAAGTTTAAAGAAGTTCATTTTTATGTTCAAATATTTTGAAATATATAACATAATATACATCGAAGAATTTCGAAAGACGCTTCTCATGTGTTCCGGCAGTTGATGGAAAAGCATTCAGATGAATTCGCTGAAACTTTCGAGGAGGTAACTGTCATTTGAACTTTTCTCTACTTTTACTACATTTAGCTGGTAATCACTAATGCAACGGCTTAGATCATAAGAGAAATACATACATAAACACTCTTATAAATTCTGTTAAATACTGATATCTCCTAAAATGTGTGCAGTGGAAAGGATTAAACCAGTTGCTCAGGAATATACCGTACCAACTTTGTTGTTATAGTTTTAATATGAGAAAAGGTTTGATATGGTGCAGTAAAGAGATATGTGTTGTTTTTTGGATTTTGCTAACGATGTTATGACCATTACAACTTATACTGTAACATGTGCAACATTTGTATCCATTACTTGGATTGTTCATTATTTTGGGGATTTTAAAGAAGTCATGATAGATTGTGAGCTACGCATTTCATTATTTTTGCAGCAAACAACATACCGTCTGAAAATGCTTATTGGTTTCATTGTTGAACAAACAAAAATCAAAACTACCATTGTTTAACCGTTATGTAAATTGAGTATAATTGTAGGGGTTTGAGCAAACAGCAAAACCAAGTTATAGCGGTGCGAAAGTTGTTTGGATCGCCAATTGTGAAGTACGTAGGGCGAGGCATCGGATATTTGCAGTTCGATTCCTTGTCCTTGGTGCTCTCAATGAAGAATGCACTCAGCTCACACTGAAACGTTAATAATGAAATTTCATTTGATGTGAACTTATTGTACTGAGAGGGAGAGCGATGAAAAGTGTGATGCGATTTCTTTAGATCAATTTCAAGAACTTTCAGGATGTGTTGATTATTGGGAGTCAGTTACAGCAAAATTTTCGAGCCAATGCAGAGATTTGTCCAGCTTCTAATGAAGTCTGTAATTCCTGTTATACCGGTTCGAGGTATCGCTGATTCGCTGATCGCATGTTCTTATGTTAATCCTTACAGTAGACGAACAGGACGAGGACATGCAAATGATTTTACACATCGTGATTTGCCTCGATTTATCATAGCGAACAAAAAAAACTTTACAAGAACCATAGCTCGATTGGTTGGTGTCGATAGTGGTTTGGGAAAGGCTGTTAGTTCTTTTTGATTCTGACTATGTTCTGAAGTACATCCTTGAATTTATAAAACATTTCTGTGCAGTCACATGAATTAAGAAAATATGAAGAATGAATTTAGTGGGCTTGTTATCAGTTTCACATACTTTAATGATTTATTTAATTCATTGAACTGAATGACATTGAAAACAGCAGCATCATCTGACCAGACACGACTTTTTTGAAGGTGTCATGCCTTCTATATTTCGCATTTTTTAAAATATATGGGGTGTTGCATAAGGAAATTTCTTCATTTTCACTCATAGCAACCGATATTCAAACAGAAGTAAGTGGCAAAGAAAAAAGTTTGAGGTAAGTTAAATCTTCTCGGAGATATCATTACTGGTTCATTTATTAAACTACTTGCTTTTATAGATCTCTCATAACATTTAAATACGTAATGTCCTCCTTGGCGCTATCATTACTGGTTCATTTCTTGTAGATGTTGATGCTGGATGTTGGAAAAAAACCGAAGCAAAGGAAACTAAACGAGGCAAAAAGGAACCGTTTAGGGAGAATGTTTTTGGAGCACGTTTTTCAGATTTTGTGTGAACATGATCGATTTTGTGACATAGAAGGATTGGAATTGTACAAGGTAAATCTATGTTGGATTATTTAAAAGATTTTTTTTTGTAATAATTTGTTGTGAAAAGAAATAGCAAATACTTGATTAAGCTGAAATACATTTATAATATTTATGATACTTTAATGATTTGGACATGCTTAAAGCAAATAGTGCTACTATATTTATTTGAATTTTTGTACTTTCTCTTGCTTTTAATTCTTCTAGAGAGACATGATAGACAAAGATAATGCAATGAATTTTAGGTTGATGTGGGCCCAACATTTAAAGTAATGGACGTTTACTGGTTAGCAAAAGGTGACAAGTCCGATGAGGTAATTTTTTTCTCCTTTTTGGAAATGGGGAAGGAGAGTAGTCTGCTTTTCCTGACTCTCACCTATCGTCTTCTGAATTCTCTTAATATTGGTTTCCAGAATTTTCTTAATATATTCTACGTCTCTGTCAAGTTGAAGCGTCTGTGTTTTTTCAGATTATAGAAAAAGTGCTAAAGGGATCAGAAGACTTCGTGCGTAAAAGGCTTTCGGAATTGCTAGGCAGTCATAATATTCCACGCTTAACTTTCATTGCTGAACGTAAACATCTTCTGGAGCAGGTGTGAACAAATCAGTGGCTTACGTTTTTTCGGCGTCTTCTGCCTAGGAATTTTTACAAAAAAAAAAAAGAAATGAAAAAATTTCATAAAATTGATATTTGTCTTGGGTAATCGGTTAGTTCCTTCAGAGAGCCGCAGCTGCTTCCAGTGTTATTAAATCTTTAAGAATTTGAATCTTGTAGAAATTTCACTGGAATACACTATCGATATTACTGTTCAATAAAGTAATTCTCATATTTCAGTTTGAAAGCTTAGTAAATTTCTTCGTAAGAAAATAATCAAAAGTAGAATATATATAGATGAATCATTTCCATATCTTATATTTTTCAGGAAATGAATCGTTTATTTGAGAAAGCAGATTACGGTATGCAGTATCGAGCTTTAAGTCACACTGGTGCGGTCCTAGGATCAATGGCTGATGCAGGTTCACCCAATGGTGATGAATAATACGATGTAAAGCAAAAGTTCCATACAGAATGAAAAAATTGAAGATTTTGTTACAAACAAGAAATAAATGTAACTGATATTTCCGGGGCTTAATTTACCCTTAAACACTGTTTAAGGGTAAATTAAGTTTTGGCATGCAGATATTCTTTTGAATATGTTTTAGTGATGATTTATTTTCTGTTAATATTGTTTTGTGAGAGGCAATGTGTTTTAGAAATTCATGTTTTTAAGCTAATTAATTCTGTGTTAATTTACTTCAATGAGAGAAGTGATATTTAGAACCTTAAAGTTGACAATATACTGTTATTCAAGTGTTGTCATCATATTGATCATCCTGATATGAAATTGTTATATGGAATTTGGCAGGAAATTTAGCAGATGAATCAAAATAAGTTCCTCATCATATATGATGAAATGATGGACTTTTTTGGTTGAAAATTCACTACTGCAATTTAATCTCTTAATTCTTACCGCTTTTGTTTGCATCTTCTATTTGTATTTGTTATTCTTTTCTTGTGATATTTTATATTATGTAAATAATTTTGGCTTTATAATTTCCAATAGTCCTTTTGTTGGTTTACGTTTTAGAAAATGAAGTGCACAAGTGTGCTGAAAGAAAATAGATGAGCATCCTGTGATTGACTAAATTTTTTTTTCATGAAAAAATGTCAAAAATTCCGAAATGAGTTTCGAATTCATAAGTATTGAATTACAATCACAGGCAGAAATACTTCTGAAAAAGAAAATGGCAATTTAGAATACTCCGCGGAAGTCTCTGTAACTGTTTGCTGTTCCCAAAAAGCAACGGCAATTAAAGTGAAAAATAGAAGTACCAAACAAAAATAACTGCTGGAAACCAAGAAATGTTGAAATAGAAGGATTCATTCAAGGCAATCTTCAGTTAATCCAAGATTAAAAATTTGAAATAGGAATAGAAAAAAGTAATTCATCGATCTGAAACACATATAGAAAGAATGTAATCATAGGGAAATTTGCATGACCATTTAAAAAACGAATTTGGAACTCATTAGTCCAATCAGTCATTTCGATTACTTCATTTCATTAAAATAACTACAACAAAAGGGAAGCGGAAATTGAATGAGCCACTTATCATCAAACCAATCGCAGTAATTTCATGACTAATCGACACAACAGCAAACTAACTGTAAGAATGTATAATAAACTACTTATTTCGAAATTTACATATCAGATAAGAGTAAATGATGCACAGTTAATGCCAATTTATTCCTACAGTACTTCGTGTTTTCGATGATGGACAAGACCGCCCGATTACTACGATCATACGTGTAATTTTGATAGAATGAAAAATAAATCGAATCTGTCTGCTGATGAGCTTGCATGTAAACGAAGAAGAACAGTTTGAGTAATTGTATTTACAAACATAAAGAACGGGATGAGATGCGGAAAAGTAGAGGCGGGAAAGATTGGTTAAGATATTGCTTGTAGCTTGTATGTCATCTCATCATGTTGAGAGATCGTAATAGAAACTATTAGGTTTAATTTG